CACATGCTTTATTCCCAGCCTGAGATCCTGGTAGTGCTGATTTTTCCTGGAGACAGAGCTGGTTTCTTTGCTTGTTTTCAGTGTCCCTATGTGGTGGCAATGGCCTTGGAGGACAATGTCAGTGTGGGACACACCTTGGTCTCCTGGATGCAAAGATGATGCTTTTGGCAACAATTTAAAGGCCTCTGCCTCCCAGTCTCCTCTTCCCTCTTTTATGTGTTATTTGTGATATTTATCAGTCTCCACTGATGTGGGACACTCTTTGGGGAAGAAGAGCCTCTTGCCATGTACAGCAGAGGGGTTTAAGCAGGTGAAGGAAACCCTCTGGGTTTCCTTTTGGGAAAGGCTCCTCTTTGGGGTGCTGGGAGACCCCCACTTACAGATGTGAATGAGGTTCAAAGCATCTTCATGATCTGTGTGTCAGAGTTCTAAACCAAACCCACAATAAATCCTTTCAGCATCTACACCGGGATTAGATCTCCCAGAACAATTCCTCTGCACTACTGGGAATCTTAGCCCAACAGAATTAACTTAGGCTGGAGAAACTCCTTGTGCTGTTGGCTGGAATCCATGGTCTGTGTGGAGTCCAGTTGTGAGAGCTGGAGGAGCTGAGAGGGAGATGTGGCCAAGCGAGATGGGTGAGCTGGAGTTGTCCACAGTTATCCACAGGACACAGGGGTGCTGCTGCAGCTGGAGGGGAAGCTGGATGGTCTTGTCCAAGCACAGCTGTGCCAAGAGTTTCCCTCTGCAAGTGCAGGGCTTGCACAAGGAGCAAAGAGGACTTTTCCCAAGCAATTCTCTTTGGCAGCTTTCAAACGTGCTCTGGTTTTTGGTGAAGAACAAATCCCAGCTGGATTCTGCTTGTTCAGTGAAGGAGCACCAAGAGCCAGGTGCTGCCCTGGGATCTGGGAGCTCCTGGCCTCCAACCCTTCCTGAAAAATCCCCTCAGTTTCATCACAAGGAGCCAAACATCTTCTCCTCCTTCCAAAAAATCAATGTGGAGGAATGATCAATGGTGTAAAAGCCGAGGCTTACGTGGGAATGCAGGCAGCACTCTGCAATCACAGCATTTTCCTCTGCAGTGATCGAGTCAAGCTGCAGAAGCAGTTAAGAGGATTAGATATTTTTGATCATATTTGCAGCTGTTCTTGCTGTAACTGAGAGGAGAAATCCAAATGTGTCGCCCTGGGAAGTGAGTGAGAGCCTGGAAGGGAGTGCTCCCTTGGGACCCTGCAGCCAGGGGGTGCTCAGCCCCTGCTGCTCCCCAGAGCCACGAGGAGCTGTCATTCCTGCAGCTGCAATTGTGGCACTTGGCTCCCTCAGAGATCCAGGCTCCAGTGGAAACCTCCCTGTGAGTCTGCATGCAGGGCTCTGAACTGCAATGGTGGCTCCAAAATCTCTGAAGGCTGAGCTTTCCCAAGTGCCACAGCTTAAACAAGGAATGTTGTGGAAGCCCTGCCAAGTTCAGAGCCAGATGTGAGAGAGGAGATCCCTCCCTGGACATCACCAAGGATTTCCAGCACTGCAGTGCTAAGTAAGGAAAGCTAATTCCACTGTACAGTTAAATTTCAGTGTCTCATTTTCACACATTCAGCACTGTTGGAGTCCAAATAAAAATACCTGACTGTTCCCTTCAAACCCATCCCTGCAGAGATGCTGGGGATGTGCTGCCAGCACTGCAGTAGGAAGCTCCTCTGTTTTTCCCAAGGGACATTTCCAACAGGCCCTTGGCCCCCAGGATGGGAGTATGGGATCCATTCATCCCTTTTTCCATTCTTCAATAGAAATGTGGCCAAGGAATTGGCTCCTTGAGCCATGTGGTTGCTGGAAGTGCTTGGCCCTGCTCACAGAAACTGCCTGGGCTTTCCCTTCTCCATGGATGGAGCCTTGGGTGATGCCCCTGTCCAGGACAGGGAGGTTCCTCCTGAAGCCAAAATCCCAGATCTGAGCCCCAGGTGAGACATCCCTGAGGAGGGGAAAGTTTCAGATCTCACTTTGAATTTCCCTGATGATTTTAGCACGGTGAAGAGGGGAAAGAGCACCAGAGGTAACAAATTCCACCCTTTCCAAACACAGTCATGTGGCTGTCATTTGCCAAAAACATAAACCACAATCATAATCCTAAATTTGTCCTTTGAGCATACCTGTGCCTGCTCTGTAGTAGTTTCCTTCTAATCCCCAGGGATTAATCCTGAAGTGCATTGAAACATCTGAGGTGAAGGGCTACAGTGGAAATTCCTTGCAGGCTGGTAATAATAACTGAAAGCTGCTCTGTGAAGCAAACCTGAGGCTGACTTGGTTTTTAATGGACATCTGTCTGTAGGGGGAAAAAATGCCATGGCAACTGGCTTTCTTGTTGGCACGGCAGCCTCAGCAAAGGGCTGGGGAGAGGATGGGTATGGGAGGGTCTGTGTGGCTGTGCTGGGAAACCTGGAGGTACAGCTCAGCCAGGCTGGGAGGCAAAGGTTGTTTATGCTCTGTGAGCACCAGATCTTGAGGGATTTAACAGCTAAATCTTGGCATAACGATTGCTTTGTGTGCTGCTGCTGCTGCTTAGCAGGAGCCAGGCTGGGTTCCCCCCTCCTTTTCCTAAAAATGTGAAATCTAAAGGCAAAAAGCGCCTGGTTGGAGATTTCCTGGCGTTTTGCTGGGCAGGGTTGGTGTCTCCCAGTGTGCAGCTCTGTCCCAAGAATCACTGCAGAGCCATGGCTTCATCAGATGGATCCTGGAGCTTTGCTGGCTGAGGAAGGAAATGCCCTTGCTGTGTCCAAGGCCCGTGGAAGTCGAGAGCAAGGGTCATTCAAGTGCTGATAATGGGTGCACAAGCTCTGGCACTGCTGTGCCTCCCTCCAGAGCTCCATGGACATCAGCACTTCCCTTCATCTCCTGTGGGTTGCAGGAGAAGCAGCAGGAGATGCATGGCCCAGCAGGGACATCCATCACCCTGGCTGCACTCAGCTGCAGGGCTGAGAATGGGGAAGAAATGGCAATAAAATTGCAAGTGCAGATCAAAAACTGCATCTGATGGGAGCTGGTCCCTGCTCAGAGCTGAGCTGGGAATTTGGGAGCTGGAGGCAAGATCAGGGCTGGAGGGGAAAGGCAGAGGTGGCAGGAGCTGTCCCACGTGGCTGGTTTGGAATTTGGGGTTTGGTTTTGCTGTGGCACCAATTCTGGTCTGGCCAGGGGTGTGTCCTCAGCCAGGACCGAGGGCAGCTTTGCTGACGAGCTACATCGTATCTCTCTGGGAAATGCTGCCCCTGTGTCAGCACCTGATTTGTTCTCTTAATTTCCTTCCAAGTGTCTGGAGATCCCCGTGCTCACAGCACTGCCCACAAAGCTTCACCCTCTGAGAGGAGGGGTGGGGATAATGGCACTGAACGACTGAAATCTTCAGGGAAAACACGCGTGTGGAAAAGCTCCGTTCTCTGAGCTTCCCCAACAGCTGATTTCGCTCAGAGCAAAGCCCCGTGCCTGGGCTGCGGTCCCTGTGTAGCCAGGCGTGTTTTGTCTTGCTGGATGCTGCTGAGGATCAGCCCGGGTAGCTCAGGGAAGGCAGCACAAGACCAACAGCAGGTTAGATCAAGGAAATGTTACATCACACGGCACTTCCTGCTAAGTGCTGCTATTATCAGCCCCATTCATCTCCGCATGCAAATACAGCCTGCACACGTAGTCACACATCTGGAGGGAAACAGCAGTCCTGGAAAGGAGCAGCTCTAACCTGGATCCCACAGGAGAGGCAAAAGGGAACATGATTCTCCATTAGGAATTCTTTCCTTTCTCTCTTGACTGAATCCTGAATTTTTCTCCAGCTAAACCACCACATCCAGTGTTGGCTGCTCTTTGTCACATCATTGACACCCAAAGTGTCAGCTACAAATGGTGGGGAAGAGCAGAAAAAAGGGTGAGAAATTGATGAAACCAAGCCATAAAATAATAAATATTGGGAATGGTGGGCTATCAAGAAAAGCGTATTCAGGAGAAAATAAAGGGAATGACGTGCCCTGGCAGCAGTAGAACCCCTTTACACTGGGAATTTGGGGAGGTCACTGCAGACACAGGAAGAGCAGTGTCCCTGGAGAAGCTGGCTGCCACTGGAAACCACCCTGCAGCCTCTCTGGTGGTCACTGCTGAGCTATTTTAAATGATCACTTCTATATTTACTTTTAACCTGCTTTTTTATAAGGATGCTCAACAAAGAAAAAAGGGAGGGCACAACGAAAGCCAAACAGAGCTTAAGAAAACAAAGAATACATTGAAGGGGAAAACAAGTCAAACTGCAACTGCTCTTGAGTCATTCCTGAGGATGTGAACACCAGCCTATTCATACCCTGCTTTCTGAGCCTGTAATGTCACCCTAAAATGTACTTTACTGTGCTCACGTCATGTCTTAGAGGCTGTCTCTGCCTGTGGAACTTGGTTCTGTGTTTTTTGACATTTTTGACTCTCAGGGGCTCTGTCTTTGCCCCACAGCCCCTTCAAAGTGCTGCAAACTGGTGCTTTTGTGGTTCTTAACCTTCAGGCACAGAAACAGTCACTAACTGCTGTGAGCATTCCAGGCTGGAAAAGCACTGAAGTGCTGTCCTCTAAAAACCCCACATTAAGTGACCTGGATGGGTTCTACTCACTCTCTTATCAAACTTCCTTGTGTTTTTTATTAACAACTTCCTTTACAAAGTTGCTCAAGGTTCAGGACTAACCCAAAGCTGTGCAACGTAGAAACAGCACCCTAAAGAGATTGGTTCACACAATTATGGAATATCCTGAGTTGGAAGGGACCCATAAGGATCTTTCAGTTAAATTCTGGCCCTGCACAGACTCTTCAACATTTTTGTAGCTTCTTTTGGGCTCTATATATTTCTTATATTTTTATATACTTCTATATACTACTACAACTATTATTATTATTATTACTACTATTACTGAATTGTTATATATTGTCTTATATTGGTTAAGTGCTTTTTCATGCTAGTGGTTTTTACACAAATATATAGAAAGGATTGTTCTTAGCTGCTCTTAGGGATTTATTTATCCCATCACATACAGTGAACCAGATTCTTGCTCTCACAGTAAATGCTCCCAAAATTGGTGCCAGTGGTACCCTTTGGCTCTGCAGGTGCTGATGTCTCCCACAGAAACTCTTGGGCTCCAGAAATCCTCAGTGTCCTTCTCACTCAGTTCTGTGGCTGTGAAATAGTGAAGCATCTCATGAGTTCATTGAAGGGATTAAAGAATGAAATTTCTTTAAATCACCATCTCTGTTAAGAGTATTTTCAATGGGAAAATTCTTCATGCTGAGCCCATTTTGGGTAGGATCTGTCATCTAGCTCATAAAGTGTTAACCACAAGGTTACTTGGGCCTGTGAGGTAAAACAAAACAATCAGTTTAAAAGGTAAAATGTAAGGAAAATGCTAATTTAAGAAAGCTGTTCAATATTTTATCTTTTTACCATTGTGTGCTGCCACCCACAACTCTTCCAACTGCATGGGAAAGCTGTTGCTTTAGGAGCAAGGTGTATAAATAATGCCTGCCTAAGAGCACGGCTCCTTTTTATTCCATTGGAATCCTGTGGGATTTCTAGAGCATTTCTATGAATAGATTAAACTCTGAGCATTTCGAGTAACCATGGCTATAAATCAATTTAGCTCTTGGTTTTCAAGTTACATCTGCTCTTACTAATCCTGTATGTGCATTTTTTTTTTTTAATAGGACAGAGCAGGCTTTATTTTTGTGTATGGGTTTTTGGGTTTTGGTTTGGTGAAATTCCCACTCTGCACCAAGCAGGTTCCACACACAACCACTGCACCCTGGCTTTCTGCAGGGAGCCTGCTGATGGTGGACAGGCAACACGGAGTGAGGGGAGAACTGGCATCTTGAGCTTAAATATTTTACCCATCAGCTCAAGGCAAATTTAAATTTCTTTACTACGAGGGGAAGCCCTGACTGCTCTGAAATCTGTAAGATGGAGGGGCACTGCAGGGAAAGCAGCCATCCTCCGGCCCCATCTTGCTTTCCCCCAGGAGCAGGGATGTGTTTGGCAGCGATGGCTCGGGCTCTCTGCGGATCGGGGCCTGGCGTCCTCCACCGGCCTTTCGCAGCCGGCCGGGGCTCGGCCATTTTCCTCCATTTCGTTGTCTCTCGACGCTTGGTTTCTTTTGAACGATGCGCTGCGGCCCGAGCCCGCCGCCCTCCCACTGCCGCTCGCTGGGGCCCGGGGAGGGGCGAGCGCGGCCGGGCCCCACCAGGCCGCGGCCTGCGGGGAGCGCAGCGCGGGGAGCGCAGCCCGCGGGGCCCGTGCGGGGCCGCCCCGCCCGGTGTCACCGGCGGGCTCGGAGGGGGCTGAGCTGGGCTGGGGGACTCTCCCGACCCTGCCGGGGCCTCACGGCCGGGCCGAGCGGGCGCTGCCGCCGTCCCGCGCCGCCGCCGCCTCACGTGTCCCCCCCCTCCCTCCCCGCCCCTTCACCCGCCGCAGCACCGCCGCCGCGCCCTCCGACTTCCCGTAAAGAGTCCGCGCCGCCGCCCGCCCCGCGCCCACCGCCGCAGCCCCACCGCCCCCCGCCGGCCCCGCGGGGGTGCCCCGAGCCCGCGGGTGTGGCCGCCGCGCCCCCTGGCCCCGCCGCTGCCCTCGCTCCGCGGCGCGGCCCGGCCGCCGCCCGCCCCCCCCCGCGGATCCCTCCGCGCCGCGCTCCGCTCCCTCCGCCCCGCTCGCACTGTTTGGGAGCAACCGGCCGAGCCAGCGGCGCCCCGGCCCCGCCAGCGCAGCGCGGACCGGCCGAGCGCACCCAGCCCGGCGCGACCCCCAGCGCTCTCCCTCCCTCCTCGCCATGTCCCTCAAGCAAGCGGCGGCGGCGGCGCAGCCCGCCGGCAACAACCGCAAGCCCCCCGGCGGCGGCGGCCCCGGCCTCCCGTCAGCCGCGGGGAGGCAGAACATGGGCAGGTGGGTGCGCAGTGCCGCGGGACCGGCCCCGGCTCCGGCCCCGGGCCCGGCGCGGGCGCCGCTCGCCCGCCCCCGCCGCCCCCCTCCCCCCCGCCCTCGCCCCGCACCGGCCTCCATGGGCGGCGGCGGCCGGGGAGGGGGGCCGCGGGGCCCGCAGCATGGCGGGGCCGGGGCGGGGGCCGCGATGGCGGCGGGCGCGGCGCTCGCGGCCCCGTCGAGGGGGTTCCGCAGTGCCGGGGCGAGGCCGGGCCGCGGCCGGTGCCCTTCAGGCGCGGGGAGGGCACGGCGCGGAGGCTCCATTTCGGCCCCCCGCGGGGCCCGGGGCGGGGGGCGCCGCTTCCCCCGGGCCGACGTGACCCGCCTGCTGAGGAGGGAGCGGGGGGAGCGGGGGGCGCGGGCCGCACGTGTCGGGGCCGGCGCGGGAAGGGCCGCGAGCGATGGCGGCGGGGCCGGGGGGCGGCCCGGGCGGGGAAGGGGGCGGCGATCCGGCCCCGCGATGGCGGCGCAGCGCCCTCGGCTCACCCGGGGTGGAGGGGGGGGTGTGGGGTGGTGATTTTTAGATTTTAAAATTTATTTTAATATCTAGCGATCGTTATTATTTGTAATATTTTAATTTTTTTTTTAGTATTTTTATTTGATTTTTTTTTTTAATAATGGAAATCGCAATAAAATTCTCGCGGGAAGGCGGGCCGCGCCGCGCCGCTGGATGGTGGCTCCAAGCGCGGCCTCGCTTTTTCCCGGATTTTTGGGGCAGGAATCTTGCAGAGGCTGAGCCCTCTCCTCGCCTCCCCCCCCCCCGCCCCACGCTCGCTGCCTCTGGAAGATTGATCCCGCTCCTGCTCTCAGATCATTAGCTACGCAAATCCACTCACATTTTCCCCCTTTCTTTCCCTCAAATAATAAACTCTATAGCGCTGTGAATTTTTCCGGGGCTGCGGGGGTCATAACAAACGATGAGAGCAGGACGTTAACAGTTCTGAAGGTCACAGTCACTCAGAGTAGTTTCATTTCGAGTTTTATTCATCTTCCCCTTCAACTGGACGTTTATTCCCACTCGGTTTTGTGCACTGGCAATAAAACAGAATTTACAGTGGCCCCATTGTTGGACATCACTGGAAATAGGGTTTTACTTTGTTCCCAGCCAGTGGAACTGGAAGCGGAAGAGCTTTGGAATGGTATGAAAAGGACAAAATAAATAACAACAACAATACCTCAGCAGCTCAGAGCACCGATTTAATAGTTTTTTCATATGGCATTAGGTGGGACGTGATGTTTATTGGGCTCTGTCCCTGCCAACACACCGTGGCACTGTAGAGGTTAACGTGAAGGGCAACAAAACCTCCAGCTTATTTTTTAAAATTCAGCCTGATGGCGAGCACTTGCCCCCACAGATCTGGGCACGTGAGCTTCAAATTCTCTCCCAAGTTTAAGATTAAAGCCACTGGATTTCTCCAACCAGTGTTGCCTTTCTGGTTCTGTTGGATAAATTCCATTTCAGAACTCCTTAGGGGGTTCTGATGGGGCTGCTGAACAACTGATGTGTTCCCTCAGAGGTGTTCATGCTCTTTCTTTCTTAATTTTTCAAGTTATTTCTGAATGGAGGGTGTGTAAAATCACACTGCTGGAGCCCCATGGAGCACCTTCAGAGAACTTCCCCTACACCTGTCCTTGGTCTTTTGGGGAGTGCAAATTCAAAGATGGTTCATGCTGTAAATCTGGCCACATGAATGAAAAGCTGAGTGGCTTTTCTGTTCAGAAAAATGAAAATTTAGGTGGCCTGCATCTTGGTGTCAATTTGATACATTATATTCTTTAATAAAAGCTTAAACATCTCCAGTGTATGTCAAGCTTTCTGCCCAGCAACTCGTTTCCCTGCAGCACTAACATTCCCATGAAGGAAAAACAAATTACTTTTCATGGCTAAGTTGCTCCTGAAAGCTTAGTTTGGGCAGAAAACTCATTGATAATTAACTGTCCTAGGCCTGATTTTCTGTGTTACTGGAAGAATTGGGCTGAGCACTTGTCCTTCTCCCTCTGCTCATGAGGGGAGGGTCAGCTCTGCTCACTGCCTTGTCTCCATGGGTTCACACTGCTGCACATCTGTATTTCAGATTAGAAAAGGGAAAATCCCGTGTGAACAGCCAGTGTTCTTTACTATCCTATTAATTGCTTTTAGACAAAGGGAAAAATCAGAAATGAAGGCATCCTTGAAGGTGTTGGAGATAAGAAAGAAGGATTAATACCTTTATGATCAAGAGGCCCCAAGTGAGATGCTGTGTTTGTTTAATGTGCACTATGGCAGATGGGCTTGGGCTGCAGGGGAGATGCCAATAGCACAGCAAGCTGTAATTAGGGAAAATGTAGACTTGGTTCTCAAACTTGCTCCCTGTGCTATCAGAACATTATCTAACATCCACTTTCTGTGTTGGAGTGGAGTTTTGCTGTTATGCAAGCACAGGAGGGTTTTCTGTCCTATGGCTGCAGGTTGCATCTATCCCAGCCTTCCTCCATCTCCATCCTTTTTTTGTTCATTTTTTCCCCATTGTTATTTTATCTGAAGGCAAAACACCTTAGGGTCGGGGTTTGGATGTTTCTTGTCGTGTTACAATTGTGGCAGAAGGGATTTTTCATTTGGGTAACTTGCTTGCCTGACTGGGCTTGGGGATCCTGTAAGAATACATGGAGTTACTGCCCTTTAAAAATGGCTTTTTCCCATCAAAAAGGTAAAACTGAAACCACCCCATGGTTCAGTTTTTAAAGAAAATGACAGAAACTTCTTACCTCCATTTATTTTCCTTTTTCCTTGACATCCCTTTCTTGAGAGCATGGTGACCATCCTGTTCAGAGGGAAGGGAAGGGGAATGTTGAGTGCCAAGGTGCTGGAATTTCAGGGCAGTGTGAGCTGGAGATCTGCTCACACGTGCCAGTCCCAGGTTTTTGAGTTGCTTCTGACATCTTTGTGTGGGTTTTAGTGCAAATGTGCTAAACTGCTGAGCACAGTGACTGCTTAACCTGCAGGCCTCTTTCCTTATCACTGTGAGTGCACTTTAGGGTGGTGTTACATCCCTGGTTTTGAGTAACTTTTAATTGATCAACTGATTCATGGCAATGTCTGTGAAGGTTCTCCAATGACTAAGCCCATCAAGAGGTTCCAGGTGTGCACTGGACCAGACTTGAGTCAGGTTGTTCAATATCCAGATGCTGTAGAAGCTGTCACCCTGTGTGGAGACAGGAATTGACATTATTGATGTCAGTAGTGGGGGAAAAACTACAGAAAATAAAGCTGCAGGACTTCTTGCATAATCTTCATTTGACATCTTCGATTCATTTGACTTTACAGAGCCAAACACTGCAATGAAATAAAACCTTGCACTTCAGATTTCTCCCTTAGAAGAAAAGCTTTGCCAGCTCTCTGCACTAAAGTTCTTTAGAGTACCCTGTAAATTTGCTTTCCAAGCTGCAGCAATGTCAGTCAGTGCTCCAGAAACATCCATTCCCACTTTAAATTCAAGTCTTTGTAGCTGCATTTCTGCTCCAGACATTAATTGCAGCGTGGCTGCATTTATTTCTTAGTTTCAAAGTGAAGATGCTGCTGGAAAGAAAACTGGAGACTTTCTTTCCCATCCAGGAGTGACTTTGTTTCCCTTGCATTAACTGGGAAAATACAAATGCGTGACCTTGTTTTGCTTATCCAAACACTCCACTTGGCATGTAAACATTAAGGAGGGAGGTGAGGGATGCTGAGGAAATACTCATAAAAATAGAAAAAAATGTGCAAGTTGCTGCTGGGGAAAAAAAAAAAAAAAACAACATTTATAGTGCAGCTTTTGGGCCCTGATGGAGACTTTGCTTCTTGGGGTGTAACTGCTGGAGCCAAGGGGTTGGCACTAAGTTTTATTGCTCAGTTGTTACTTTGTCCAGAGTTTGTGACTTTGCTACCCCAAAGCAAAGGGTTTCCAGCTTGGATTTGCCAGGCTGTCCTGCCTTCCCCTAGGTTTACCTTTAACCATGTATCTGCAATGCAAAATGAAATTTTTATTTAAATTTTGCTATATTTACCCTAATGAAAATAGGGTTTTAGGTAGCAGTGCTAAATTGCTACTGAGCCTTCCTAGATTCCCCCACCTCCATTTCTTTGTGTTACTCTCCTGTTCCAAATTATGTTAAACATCTGGCAAAACCCATCTACCTTCTCCTTTTGTAAAGGTCCTGAGGGTTTTTTTTTCATATGTTGCATCAAAGATATGTCAAATGATACTTTGAAATTGATTCTTCACCTATTGGAATATGAAACTCAAGTTGGTGGCTTTGGTTTTAGCAGAAGATGCAGTTTTGGCTAAATTGTTGCATGGGTAGGATTGGTAAATATATTTCTTTTCTCATCTTGGAGAATGTGTTGGTTTTTTTTTTTCCCCCAATGGTTTGTGATTAACAGTTGTAGCTGGAAAATGGGAGGTCAGATCTATAAAGAGACCTGATAGATCAGAGAATTTTTGCTTTAATTTTTGGCTGATGTAGAGGCTGGGAGTTCTTGCTGATGTGGATGTGCACAATCAGTTTTTTTTCTTGAAGAAGTGTGGGTAGGAACAGTAATTTTGGAAATGTGGTAAGAGATGGAAAATCTGGAATACTCTGGTTGATGCTTAGAGGGAATACTCCAGACTTTCTGCCCAGTCTAGCAACCCAGTTATTTTCAGGTCTAAGAATACTTTGTCACTAAAAATGGGAGTGGTTGCTCTTGCAAAGACACGAAACTCTTTCACTTTTGATCTATAGCTGATGGAGGAAAAGGAGGAACTTCTAAAATCTATGAGGGCAGCAGATGGAACTGGTAAAATCATTTGACTTTGGCCAAGTTCTGAGTGACCGTGGTGATCACATTTTTGATTGTAGTAGAAAGACAAATCAAACTGGGCTGTGGCTCTTATGTGGGGGTTCCACATCTGGTGAAATGACTTTCAGATAGAGAAGGGTCTGAGTATTATGCAAAAATGTTGTTCCATGTTCACAAAGCTTTAGTTCTCTCAGAGGCCATTTAACAAATGTCAGATTTGGTAAATGCTGAGATTTGCTCCAGAGCAAGACTGACATTGTGAAGCTGCCCTATGGAAAGTTAAGGCTGATGGTAGTTAAATAAAGGTTATTTGCATTAGAGCTTTTTTTGGTGAGATTAGCTCTCTGCAATATCCTGAAAATGCCTGCTGGGCACCCCAAATCTGCAGTTCTGCCATCAGCCAATGCCCTCAGCATGTGTGATGCTCTGAGCCCACAGTTCTGATGCAGAAGCTTGTTGGAAATGAGTCAGGTGATAGTTTAGTGGTTTTTCATTTTTTCCTCATTAAGGCCTTTCATGGCTCTCTGATGGCTTTGCTTATTTCGGCAGAATTTATTGAAGGGTTATTTATGCTCACTGAGAGAAGTTCCTTTGATTTTTTGACTACCCTGTGAGCTCTCTTTTATAAGGGCCTGTTATTCTGGGGGGTAGGGTGTATTCAGCCCCAGCTTGGTGTTTTTAAAAGCATTTCAATGCAGTTGGCATCTAATGAAGGTGTTCAGGAGCTCTGAGCAGCCTGGTCTAGAGGAAGGTGCCCTGCCCATGGCATGAGGATGGATCTTTGAGGTCCTTTCCAACCCCAGCCATTCCATGATTCTCTGCCATCCAGTTGGATTTAGATTTCAGTGTTGTTTAGATAATACCAGGCATGATTCTTCAGGTGTCTTTACTGGAGTGGTTGTGTGTCAGTAAGGTGAGTCTATTTAAAAAATTGAGGAGTTTTTTTAATAGAACAGAAGATTTATTTTTGCCTCACATTCCAGTGAGTGCTCCTGAAGTCATAACACAAATCGAAATCACTATAAGGAGTCTGTGAAACTGGGACTTCTTGGTACAAGGGAGGAGCTTAGAATTAAGGCACACCAGTGGAGTTGAAGAATTGGAGCTGTTGGGGACTTTTTTAGCTGCAGGGATGATTTGGGGCTCAGGTCCTGGGGTGGAGGACACAGAGTGACCCTTGCCAGGGTGTTCTGAGCCTGGTGCCCTGAGTGCTACACCCTGACAGATTGGCTTTAGCCATTGGTATTTTTGGGGCAATGGACAGAATTAGTTAGAACTGAGCTCTGTAGGTGGAACCTCACAGTCAGGGCTCCTCTGGGGTCTGTGGCAGGGTCACTTTTTTGGGTGGCCCAAACCTGACACAGTGACAGCATTTGGAGCCTCCTGACTCAAGGATGGGACCCTGTGCTGTGTAGGGCTTGAGCCTGATCTTGTCTTTGTGTGCCATAAAATTTTGGAATTTGCTTTAGTTGCAGGATTATTCTTTTATTCTTCCTCTGATTTTATAAACTTAGTATTTTCTTCATTTTATCCTTTAATTTGTCACAGGTACCCCCCTGCCTGCTGATAGCTCAGCAGGTTGGAGATAACCCCAGTGGGTCCTTGTCAGGCTCTGCTCTCTGGGAGTGCTGCTTTTCCCAAGCCCATTCCCAGCTCTGAACTGGGATGGGGTTGGAATTCTTGCTGGGTAGGAAATGGAGCAGTTCCAGCAGCTCTTTAATCACCTGCCATGTGTGTGTGTTTCATTGCAGAGGCCGCAGCAGTGGCAAAGGACCACCTCAGCCTACGGTGAGTTTGTGCTTTGTGCTCTTTGTGCCAGGGCAGGGCAGGGGAAACAACTGAGCTGAATGGCAGCTACTGGAATATTCTCTCCATTGCTTTCCTTGGGATACCGTGGTGGGTGGATACTTTAGAGTGAAATGCAGTTTTCTAAGGAGTAGCATCTCACATTCATTTAAGTCTCCTGGGAGGGTGAAGGGGGGAAGGTTCAACTTAAACTTTTGACTGCACTAATATAAATATTCTGCATTTTCTTGCAATTACAGCTGTAAATATAAGTAACATTTAACTTAAGGCAGTGCTTTTTGAATTAGTTCCTATCTGAAAATTCTAACATTGGCTTCTCCCTTAAACAGATGACAGTAAGGCAGCATTTAATGAAATAAAAATAACTACTTTGTTTAGCTTTACTATAAAATTGCTGAGCCATTGTTCTCAGTAGCTCCAATGTGCAGCTTTAGTTGTTCTGAAGGCTGTGCATTACTGGAGCATAGATGTGGCTTGACTTGCAGAACATCATTTTATCAGAGCTAAATTCATGGATCTTGATTGAAAGAGTGGATCTTTGAACTTCACTAATCAAATATTTGCCAATTTGTTGCTGGCCTGGTTTTCAAAGATGCCTAATTTGGGGAATGGAGCAGTAGCAGGAAGATTTAAAAAGACTGCAGTTTGCTTACATAAATGTTTATTGAAGATACCGAGACACTTGAGAAAAACTAAAGAAGCTTTGAGGAAAATTGGTGGAAAAGGTCACAGACAAACACTAAACATCCCCAAGTGTTGATCTGGATGTGCTGTGTACTGAGTGCTTGAGCTGTCCCCAGACTTGTCTGTTCAGCCCAGGAAAGTGGGTGACAGTGAAAAATACGTTTTCAATTGAAAAAACTCAGAATATGGTGAAATCCCAAGAGCTGTTTTAGCATCTCTTGTTTTCCAAACACCAAGAGGTACCAGGTATTGCAACAAAACAGCTGCACTGAGGTGAATGTGTCCTCCAGCAGCCTGGGGACACCTGCCCAGCTCTCCCAGTCAGGATTGCAGGTCCTGGTGCTGCACTGAGTTACTTTGGACTAAATTAATAATAGGCTTGGTGGCAATTTAGCACTCCACAATTTGATGGCTTTAGCTGCTGTTAATGTGTGTAATCAGGGCTGGGAGATGAAAGGATGAGCTTGAGCAGGCCTGAAAACACCTTTTTGCTTCTGCAGCTCTGCAAATGCTTTATTCTCTTGATGGTTCTTAAAACCAGCAGGGCTTTTTTTGTTTAAAAACAAAGCCCTGCTGACATCCCTCAAATCTGTGCCTATCAGCTGCACCCAGCCAGCCAGAGAATTTCCTTAATGGAGTGACATTAGGGGCTCTCCTGGGATTTTTAGCTTGTTTGGGAGGGTGTTAGATCTTTAACTGGTCAGAAAAAAGTCAGGGGCCCTCTGAAAATCTCCCCTGGCGTGTTTAATATTAATATTTAAAAAGAAACATTCCATGTTTCTTGCCTGAGTAAGATTCTTACCCAATGTTTTTGAGATTTTCTGTGTACTGGTGAAAGCCTGGGCTGGGTTTGGTGCTCTGGCTTTTGGAATTTCTTCAATATTCATGATGACTTTCTTATTTTTCAGATTTCTTTTGATGGCATCTATGCAAACATGAGAATGGTTCACATACTGACATCAGTTGTTGTAAGTCTTCATATTTGGAAGAATGGTTCCTATATGACAGAGAATTTTTAACTAATCCACTAATTGTAATGTAAAAGAGTAAATATTAAACTTTAAACACTTTTTGCTAAGGTTGAGCTTTAAAGGATCACAGAAATTTTAGGCTTGGAAAGGTTTAACTCTGATTTGCAGAGCTACAGCAGATTTCTTAGGTGCACTGGTTGTATTTTGAATTTCCTCTCTTTTAGAAGGGTTGTGGATAAATAAAATGAGTCCATGTGCAGGGATTAAAAACCTTTCTCCCAAGATTTTAAGGGAAGCCCTGACATGGCAAAATGAAGTAAGGCAGACTGTCCCACATCTGCTTGAGGCCAGGATAAGCTTTTATCCTTATTTGTACCCACACGGGCTCAGATTTGGGGTTTGCACAAAACCTCCTTTGTGTGTTTTAACTGGTCAAGAGTCTTGTGAGAACCAAATCTTCTCCAGTGAGTATCTTAAATCCCCTCAGAACTGCCCATACACACCCAGCTATTTGAATTTGCAGGGCACAGCATTGTGTTTATAAATGGGCAGATGCTGAATGAGGAAATTTGGCTAAAAATTGAGCTGTATTTTTACATTCTTTACATGACCTATGTAAAGAACACATGTTTTAGAAAATCACTGTAATGTCGTTTGTCATGTTGGTAGAAAGTTATATTTTCATTTTTTCTTGCATTCTAGGGATCCAAATGTGAAGTACAGGTGAAAAATGGTGGTATATATGAAGGAGTTTTTAAAACCTACAGTCCTAAGGTAACTTTTTAAATTTTGACTCTTCCCTGTTGTGAAAATTCCTAATACCGAATAACCAACATTTGATGAAAATTTAAATATTTCCTCTGAATTATTTTTACTGCTCATGCCTAGATTTAAAGCAGACTGTAAATACCTCATTTTTGCACATTTTGGAGGGGATGACTGTGCAGTAAAGCAGTGCCCTGTGTTTGTATTTCCCACAGTGTGATTTAGTGGTTGATGCTGCTCATCGGAAAACTGCAGAATCCAGTTTGGGGCCAAAACGGGAGGACATCCTGGAGAGTATCTTGTTCAAGTCTTCAGACTTTGTCATGGTGCATTTTAAGGATATGGATACCAATTATGCCAGAAGAGGTATATTTGTTTTAATTTTTTTTTTATGTTTTTAAGATTAGAATTCAAGGATTTTCATAGCAGATGCTTTAGGATCCAAATACTGAAGTTCATATTTAGATTTGTCATTCTTAAAGAGTACAAAACTTCAGCACCTTGTGAAGTCAGAAATTCATAAATTAAAAAAAAAATAATTTTTTGAGTAGCTGTTTTGGTGTCTGGAAAGCAAAGCCTTAGTGGTTTTACAGAATATTTTATAGATTCTATGGGAGGTAGACACATTTTTGTAAATGTCTTTCTAAATTTCTCTGTTAAGTGTTATACAAGAATCTGTATTTTGAATCTGTATATTTCTCTGTTAAGTGTTATACAAGAATCTGTATTTTGAATACAGAAACTCTTTGGAAAAAGGTTATTTCTCAGAGTTAAGATATATAGAGTCTATACTGAGGGAACTTCTGTGTCTAAACATGCATTCATAGAAATAGTCTATAATTACTCCTGCAAACAAAGTTAGAAATTCTTTTAAAATCCTCTAGATGTGTTTTCGTTTCTCCTTTGCTCCTTGTAGACCTGTAGGTAAAGCTCTTCAAAATACAGAGAAGTGACAGACAAATCTTAAAATCTTGAAGAATTGAAACTGTTCAAATTAAACAATTTTGCAGACAGTCTTCATACTTTTAATGTCTGACCTCCAAGCCCCTGATTATTCTTCTGGAACCTGAGAGCTCATGAGTCAGTTCTGTTCCTTTGCAGATTTCTCAGGTTTTGGGCAGCAAATCTCCAGAGTCTTTCTGCTTAATGTTGCTGATTTGCTGGGATAAAGAATAATAAAAGGAACTGCAGGTTTTTATGGCATGGGGTGAAATTATCTCTGTGTACATTTACAGGCTGATTAACAACTGTCACAGGAGCTCAGTGGTTATTGGAACACATGTTTTATTCCCATTAGCAGGGACTTAGAGATGAGGACATTTAATGAGAATTTCTCTCTTTACCTTGTGTTTGTACCTGTTCTTGCCTGATCTAAAGCTGCAGAATGAGAGGTTTGTTGTTTCAAGGAATTTTTGCTTTTCCCAGATGATGATGCATAATGTCAGAGCAAATGCAGCATTGAAATGCAGATAAGTTCCAGGTTCTGGATGGGACTTGGAATTTAAATTACATGAGAGCTGTTTTATAATGGGTTTGGTATGAACATCACTTTAATGTAAATGCAAACTGGGCTCTGCCTCACCCAATCTTTATAGATTTTGAGCAGACTGAATGAGGAATATGCTACTGCTTCTAGGAATAATTGCTCAATGGACATTTTCTAGAAGGAAATGACTGTTTCAGGTTGAACAGTCCCTCAGTTCACTTTATTAGGTGGAATGACTGAGTCTAAATCTCTTAAATACTGGAGAGCTGAAATAAAGCCATAAAAACTTGGAGCATGATAAACTGGAAGGCTGCAGAACTTGATAAGTCAGAGTGGGTGAATTAATCTGCTTTCCATTTTGTCCCAAAAATACATTATCTGGAAATGACACTTGAAAGTGTAACTCAGTCTCTGATCACACCTTCAAATTAGAGCAATGAGGGGCTTTCTGCTTCCTGGGAAATTAACTAAGGATTCAGAAGGTTGGAAGTTTGTGAATGTGCATGAAGGAACTGCTGGCCTTTCTTCCTGTAAATAAACCCAAATCTTTGTGGTAGTGGCTCATTTAAAGTGAAACTGGCTCTGCACTCCTGCCTGACTTTGGTGCTCCTTGTTTTGGGAATTGTCTCTGCTTGATGCTCTGGTTACACTTACCTAGGAACAGAGACTTTTGAGTTGTCTAACCCTCAATGGTTTTTTGGCTTTCACAGACAGGTGAGGAGAATTTGGGAATACTCGGTTGGAAAGGCTTTAAAATCATAGTTAAATAAAAGAGCTTTTCATCAGCTCTCCTCTGGGAGGCTTACCTGGGATCTGATGATCCTTGTGGGTCCCTTCCAGCTCAGAATATTCTGTGATTCTCTCTGTGTGGTTTCTTACCCTGTAGGAGACTTCTGGATTTTGTGGAGCCCTTGAACTAAATAAATTTCTGCAGAAGATACTGTTTTGAACATTTTAATGCATCCCAGTTCAGTATAAGCAGCTATGGATTTTATTCTGGCATTTTTTCCCTGCTGGGATGGAGGAATGTGGGCAAATGGGTTTGAGTAGCAGAGATGTTCTCTGAATCCTGAAAAAGAGACTGGAAGAGGAATGGGGAAGAGCAGCAGGTGGGCAGAAAGGGGATGGGATGGAGTCTCCTTTCAGAAGGAGGAAAACAGAGCTGTGTGTGAAAAGCCTGTGCCAGAGCCTGGCAGGCAGCTCCCAGTGCTATCACAGCCCTGCAGCTTTGGGGCAGGGAGCTGATAACCCCCCCAGAGAGCTCAGGAGAGGGAGCAGCACTGCAGGCATGGGGCAGCACAGTGGGCTCTGTGCCAAGCATGACACTGCACCTTCAGGGGCAGCACCCCTGGGCAAAGCCTGGGCTCTGCCCAGATTGTACAGACTGGGAGAAAAATTGCTAAGTCTGCACAGGGAGGGGTGTTGGGGCTGTGAATGTTCCAAAAATCAACGTGTCCCTGTTTGCTGGGCCTTTATCTGCAGCTCTGTCAGCCTGCACAGAACTTGCAGCTCCTGGGGGTGCCTGTTTGGCTTCCAGGGGAAGGGGAGGGATCACCTGAGGGTGTCTCTCTGTGGAATTGAGGTTTGCTGCAGTACAGGCAGGCTGATGAATGAAACCTACACTGGGGAACTCAGCTGAAGCCGTGTTACACCCATCATTCCCCTTCCAGACTGTTCTGTCTGCTCCTAAAGAGGGACTGACACCGATTTCTGTATGTGCAGTGCAAATCAGCTGCTAAAACCCCACTGTCAGTGCAGGCTGAAATCCTTGGCTGCACATTAATATTAGCACATCTTTCTGCTTCACCTTTGAGTGCTGGGATTCTGCTGCTGATGGGTGATTTGGGCTCCTCATTGATGCAGGAGGTTCTGTTTGTCCTGATTCTACACCAGAATTGTTTCCTGGGAGCCCTGATCAATCCACAGAGCTGGTTTGCATGGGATTCAAATTTCAGTCAGGCTTTGGAGTTGCCTTCTTGGCTTCTCTTTAAAGACAAGACAATTCAAACATCATAACTTACTGGTAAAGTAAAAGACTTCTGCATGTTTTTATTGTTTTTTGGCACGCTGAGGAAAATGCTACAAATCCAATGAAAAGAAAGGCAGAAGAGAATTAGCTATTTAAGTTTTTCCTTGAATTAGCTCTGAGAGTGGCATCCTTCCAGAGAAAGTGTTGCAAGGGGAATAGCAGAAGGCATCTTTTGAACAAAGGAAGGAAATGTTGGCTCTGCAGAGCCGGTGGTAACTGGTTTTAATGTTTCAAATCAGTAGTAAGGAGTTACAAAACAAATCAGAGTTTACTGTTGAAACCTTTAAGGTGAAACCTCAGTTTACTTTGCCTTGATCAAAGCTTCAGTGGGTGCCATCAGCACCTTTGGCACATAACACTGATTGGTTTAATGGCATTTCAGCTGCAGACTGGCACTTAATTGCACATTTGTGCTCTTCACCAAAATCTGTTTGTGAAAACAAGCATGTTAGACATTGAAATTAATTAAACCCGGACTCTTAATTGCTCTGCTCTGGCACTTTTTTTCTTTTAACTCAGTTAGCAGCACACACTTGATGAATTTGCCCCAGCTGAGTTTTTCGCAGAATGTGTATTTTTAATTTGCTTTAATATGAATTTCCATTGCATAGAGCTCTCCTTGGGATTTTCTTCCATTCATGAAAAATGATTTTTTACCAGGCTTTAAAACAAGGTCTTTGATAGCCAACTCCTGAGCTTAGGAAATGTCACATTAAGCAGGTACAGAGGCAGTGGGGGCTAATTGAGTGTTACAGCCTCAACCCCTTGTTTCACCAGGTCCCATTTGATCTTTAACTCGGGTTTTACCATGTAGAAAAGAGATTGATTAAAAATTTGGCCTTGTCAAGGTGTCATGTGAATTGCTCCTTCAACAGCTCAGAGATAAGAGGCACCAGATAAGGGAGAAGCTGAGCCTGGGCAGTGTCTTGTCAGTTATTGCTCTGCCAGTCAGCACTTCCAGCAGCAGCTCATGCTTTACCTTCTGCTTTAATAATCATCCTCATTGCCACATTTTTGTTTTGGAAACTGTTATTTTTTAGAGGTTTTTTTTACATTCATTCTCCATTTTGTTGCTGATTAATTTTGGGAGAGGCTTTGCTGGGTTTTTAATTCTGGTTTCCCTTGTGCCTGCCCTGCTGTTTGTTCCAGGAAAATTCTGATCTGTGCCTTGAGGTACCATCCTGCTGCATTTAAACTTTACCTGGATGCTCTTGAGACCACATTGTCTGGCTGGGAGTGCCTTTGTAGCTTGAATTTCTCCTGTCTTTGGGTTTTCTTTGAGTTGTAGAGGTTAAACAGGCAAAGCCTCACTTGTGATTTTAATTGTAAAATGAGAGAGGAACTCAGAGCAGTGGAGCTTCCTGAGCCCTGTGATATCCTGGATTTACTGGGAAACTCAGCAGTGAATGCACACATCCTCCTCAGACCTGCAGCACTTGCTGATAGTAGAGTTTTTGTTTTGACTTGGGTGTTTTTTCATCTGTATCATTACAATAACAGCGCTGCTGAATGTTTATGTGGCTGTTTAAATAAGAAAATTAGTGGGTTGAGTGGATGAGTCTTGTTAAGCTGGTATTTTATTCACAGTATCCAAAATGGCACAGTTGTGTGGAGTTTGCCTGGAGGAATTTAATAGAAATTAAGGAAACACCCTTCTGAAAAACAGATTGCCTTCATCAGGTGCTGCCATCAGGCTCCTAATTCATATTTATCCAATCTCACTGGAGAGGAGCTCCCTCCATTCCCAGAGATGCAGAAACAAATTTCAGTTTCCTAAAAGACATAAACAGTCTCCAGCTTGGATTTGGTGTGAAATGTCCCAATCTGAGCAGAAATAAAACATGGAATTAATGATGTTTGGGGCAGGAGCAGCACTGGTTTATCTGAGCTAAGCCATGGGGTATTGATAAAGTAAATGCAGAGTTTACATTCTTAAAAATTCTTAAAAATATTCTCTTTAGCTACTACTTAACCATGAGTTGTAGCACTGTGTTCATTTGTAGTTTCAGATGACATCTGAACTGATATCTATAGTATATATTATAAGAAAGTATATTTTAAAAGCTGTTTGTGTGAGCATTTCATGGGATAGTGCTGGCTGTTATTAGAGAGACCAAGCACAGTGAATTTTTATCCAATTTATGTGCAGAGTTTCACTGTGAGATTGGCTAAAACAGGAATAAAAGCAGGATCAGCAGTCTCTCTTTAAAACATCTTCAGTGATTGTGTAAAAGCTGTTACATCACTGGCCAACTTCATATGTTGGGAATTCTTTTCATAATAGCTTTAAAGTTCATTTTATTTTTTTTAGGCAGATTTTTACATCTTGCCAGAAGTTAATTTGGGCCACGTTTTTCCTTATCTGGCACTGCCTGGTGGTTTGATTCCATCTTTTCTAAAGGTCTGCAATGTTTGCTCCTTATTTTATCAGCAGAATGATGATAGGAAATTCTGGATTGAAGACTTCTTTATTTTAGGCTGATTTATTTATTTATGAGCTTATAACAAGCTTATTTGATTTTTTTAAAGTTCTTTATGTAGTTCTGAGATCCAGTTGCTTACAAATACAAAAGCTTAGTGAATGGCTTTAGATATATTTTTACAGCTATTGAAATAATCTGGTATTATTCCTTTTTAAGTCTGGCTTGAATGAAACATGAACAAGTCAAAATAAATGTTTGTGATCTTTATTTTTTGACGTTTTTATAATTTTTATAAACAATAGAAGAACCTTACTGGTTATTTATTCTCTTATGTGGTTGAGAACAAAAAGAAGAGAGTTTCTGAATTTTTCTGTGTGATTTGGATAAGCTGCTGCTTGGAAAAACTCTGGCAGGAGAGGAGACCCCTCTGTTCATGTCACAGGAAATGGTAGCACCAAGCTGGTGGATAATTGCCCTGTTGGTGTGTTGAGGAGTTGTGGAAATAGAAGAAATTTGGATATTTGAAAGGAAAATTGCATTTTGCCCATTTAGGGAGTTGCTTTCCTGCTTTTTTGATATTTGCACACTGTTGTGGTGTGCAGTTGTGTGGGCTGGTTGGAAAAGAATTTTATACAAGTCTTTGGTTTTCTAGAAGAATAGGGATCCTTGTGTTGTCTTTTTTTCTCTTTTTCTCCCCCAAATATACATGGAATCGTAGAAAACATTTTGAAATAACTGAAAATAATTCTGTTTTCTGATATGGGAGAAGTTAGTCTGCACTTTAATCTGGAGTAGGCACCTCTCTCAGCAGCTCCAGGAGAAGGGGAATGATGATATTGTGCCTGTGATTCAGCTGTGCTGGAGCTGTTCCTGAGCTCAAAACCAGGGTGCAAACTTACCCAAACTGTTCTCACTGGTCCCAACCCTCCCCACTGTGTTGCAGATGCTTTTACTGATTCAGCCATCAGTGCTAAAGTTAATGGAGAGCACAAGGAGAAGGATCTGGAACCTTGGGATGGAGGAGAGAACACGGCTTCCGAGGAGCTGGAGGCGCTGGAGACCGATGTCGTGAGTGATGCTTTGATCATCTCTGGCCAGCAGTAGAAAATGAGCTGTTTCCCTGGATATGCCTTGAAATAATTCCTCAATTTCAATTTACTGATGAGCTTTGGAGGAGCAGAATTGCTGTCCTGCATTGTGCTGGTGGATGCTCAGTCTTTGCCAGCAGCTGCCACAGCCCTTTGGAGCGATCTGGCTGAGAAGAGCTGCCTTTCAAATGGCACTTTTGGCAAATTCTGAGCAATGGCAGCTGCTGTGGTAAGAGCTGTGTTGGACTCCAGGAGCCAAAGAGCAGCTTTTGTTAAGGACTCCAAATCCAGCAATGCTCCAAAGTGATTTATGTTTAATCAGAGCATTCCTGTCTGACTGTCATTGCACTTGGAAATGATGGGGAGATTGTGCTCAGCTCAGTGTCCCTGGGCTGCAGAGGGAGAGAATTGATGGAAGCCTGACCCAAGCACAGGGACAGTCTCAGATTATGAATCATTAGATGAAGAATATGGCCTCAAATGCCATGTCCTCATATATCACAGCAGTCAGCTTTTCCTCCAGCAGAAATTCTTGTAGCCAGGTGTTCAGCCTGCAGTGTGTTCAAGGAGATAATATTACTGA